AAACAGATCAGTCATGATGATGGTGCTACTGAGGTAGGCCTGTGCTCAATAGACGATTCTTAAATCATTAACATAAGTCGTGTTAATGATCTAAGAATTCCAGTTTGTTGTGCTCCAGTCTTGACTTTTTCTTTCCACTCTATGTTCCTATCACCTTTGTCTTTTGATTTCCTTTTAGAGCAGTAATATCTCAAGTGATACCATTATAACCCAGCATTTATCTTTGGATATTCATAAGTACCAATTGATAGTATCTGAGGTTGATGAATATCAATTGATAATTAATGAAATCATTAGAGTTGGTTTGTCCCTTTATATCATTGAATCTCTTCTGAACCTTTTAATCCCAGTATCAAATGAGCAGGATGACCATAGGATAAGGGTTGGTCATATACTTGGTTTGTCCAGGTATGAATTTTTCTGTGAATAATATGAACAGTAACAAGTATATTTTTCGACTTTGTGCAGTGGTTGACTTAGCTTCTCAAAAAGATGTTATCAACTGGATCTTTTGGGATATAAGTAATTAAGGAAGGTTCTTTGGTAGTAAGGATAAGGTGGATTATGTAGTGATGTTGGAACATATAGTTGGTTACTGATCTAATTTTGGATATGTGTGGATAATGGATAGATCAGTAAGTGTTTTATTTTCTGGAGGTTTAGGGACAATTTCTGTGAAGCCAGATTCAATATCTTCTAGTTTTTATTTTCATTAGCAATGACCTTAATGCGATTTCTCACTTTTATTCCTTTATAAGATTAACCTTAATCAACAGTTTATCCTCTTAGTGAAGTTACTATTTGGATTTACTGAAGGTTAAGATCTTTCGGTTTTGAGAAAGGAATAAAGTTATCTGGATGTTCTTTTGAGTGAAGTGCAGATGGGATAAATGTTTGAACATTCAAGATAAACTGAGTAACTGTAGATGTGTTTGAATATACCTCTTCATGATCATCTTTCTTTGATGAAGTTGGCCAGATGAGTGATTTCATGAGAGTAGGTTTTGACTTCTTCTAGTATGCATGGCAGTCCCTTGATTCCGCTTTGTGAATCCAGAGCCAGGCCGTCATTTCTTTTATAATAAAGAGAGCTGCTCCCCCCCCCCCTTTTCTCCTGCTGATTTTCTTTAATTCTGAGATCTTTGAAAGCCTTCTTTCTTTAGCATTCCTCTGCCTAACAAAAGGTACTTGCTTCTTTTCCTTTTTTCATGTCTAGCTCTCCTAGTTCTTCAGACCAAGAGAAGATGGTTTTCATCCGTCATTCTAGGGGTAAGGTCGGCCCGAGCGGCCAGGCACGTGGCTCTTCAGCCCAGGTCTTGGATTCTCCCTCTAATTCTTCTCCCCCAGTAATCACGGATCAACAGTTTCCGGATGACGGATGCCTTTTGGGGGATGACCTTTCTATCTAGGAGAAGGGAATGCCCGAACGCCTCGTTTTTCCTTAAACTTCCATTGTATTCGAAAACAACGCCAACGCCTTCCTGAGGAGACCGATCGGCAGATCCGCCAACTCCTTTCGCTCCCCCTCCTGGCAGTTTTACACAGGCTTTATTAAGCACCTAATGAGGCATCGACCGACACATGTACTTATGCCTCTAGATGCATTGGTTGTCGGCCTTCGTTTCCCCATGCATACGTTCATCATAGATTTCTTGTGCCGGATTTCAATGCTCCAGGCCCAGTTCGTGCCAAGCTCCTACCAAATCTTGACAGGTTTCATAGTCCGGTGTCATGACTTGGGGATTACTCGATCGCCGCGATCGGGAGATCAGTGCCCTTAAGGTGCCATCTTAAGGCCATGCTTATGTTCGTCGAGGCTGCTTGGCTAAAATTTGAGAAGGCCAAACCCGATTGGACGCCTGCTTGCCACTTGTGCACCCATGCTTCCACTTGCTGCTGTCATACCCTAGCATTTAATGCAACTTGCCACTTGCAGGCTCCCCAATCGATCCCTGGGCTTGTCATGCTATTGGGCAAAGAGAATGTTGATAATTGTCCCAAGTATCATATGTGTGCCGTTCGGGTTGCATAGAACGACACCCCCATTGGCTTCCGACCCCCCATTCGGGGCCTTGTAAGATTGGGTCAGGTTCCCTTTGGGCTTGCTCTTTCCCTTGGGCCCTCAAGCTATCTTGGGCCGGGTATTGGGTCAGCCCTCAATATCCCAACAATAACCACAAAATAATGTATAAAAAATGGAGTTTATGTAGTACATGTGACCTAATAATTAACGCACAAAAAACTGAAAATATTTTTAAAAATATGAAATTAGTTTGGTTAATAATATTAATTATGTGAAATACAAAAAATGGTAATGCAGTAATTGCTTCCAAAAATAAGTAATGTTGTTCAATATTTGCTTCATACGTAGGTTGACTAGACTTGGCACAATAATGGCTAGCCATATACATACCAAATTAGTTATATATGCATGATTACTAAAATACCGAAATCATAAATGATTAAAGATTGTGTAGATGTGAGGAAATCAACCGCTAGGATGCGTTCTAGTATGTAAATTTTTACGTTTAATTAATTTATTAAACGTTTATATGTATAGAGACACTCTCTCTAACTCATTGCTTGAAAATGTATTTTTTACTTCTTTGTTTTTAATTATGTTTTTGTATTCTATTACTACGGAGTATTAATTATTGTTTAATGCATATCATTTGTTTAGTATATTTTCATATACTATTTTTTATAATGAACAAAAATATTTTAATAAAAAACCAAAAATACCCAAATCAAACCGGGTCAAACCAAATAAACCATGGTTTCAAAATTTGAAGCATAAAACTAATCCAAACCGAACTTTATATATCAGTTCCGCATTTAGTTTTAGGTCAAAAATGAATTGTTTCATCCGAACTCATCCTAAGGACATATACTAGTAGCACTCTAGCTGATTAATTAATAATTTTGAAAGATCTCATACTACTATTGTATTGTATTTGTGTTGGGGAAGCTAAGACCCCGAAATCCCCCAACCGTTCGTTCCCAACTTGGGTTCCATACTTCCATATGTATTTTCTCAAGCGTGTAGAATAGCGTGTTTGTGGGGTACTCGATTATTAGGGATAAAGGGAAGAATTTGAAAGAATTGTAAAATCCTGCAAACTGATCAAGAAGAGGAATAGCGCTGTCTTCCATTTCGTTCTTTCTTATCTTGATTATTATATTCCTCCTCCACCGCGAATAGCACTATTTTTGTTATCTATCTTTCAATGGTCTTATGGTCTCCTACGGGAATTTGAACTTTCCTGTATTGGAGCATTTGTTTTATGAATACAAATTGCTCAGCTTGGATATCATCATACGAGTTTCAAGCACGCACGTTGCACATCTGGAGCCACATAATTAACAACCAAGCCCTACGTTACAGGAAATTAATTAATTCAATTCGCGTATATCTTTACTTGAAAATCTCATCTTCTTTTCATCTATCATTCCATGCACATGGTAAGATTATTTTAATTTTGAAAAATTCTCATCAAAATATGAGTAAAAAAATTTGAGAATTCCAGAATAAGATTATTATTAATCTCATCTTCTTTTCATCATTCCATGCACATGGTAAGATTATTTTAATTTTGAAAAATTCTCAAAACAGGAGTAAAAACATTTGAGAATTCCAGAATAAGATACCGTACATTTATTATCTAAATAAAAGTAATTACTGCTAAGTTTGAAAAATATTGTCGTGTTTATAATTTAGCACAGTCAAAACATGACTATAATTACTTCTATTTAATGAATAAAAACATCACAGTTCTATTTTGAAATTAACAAACATTTTGAGGGTCCAATTTAGAATAATCACTTTAATTCCTTTCCCACATGATATTATATACTACGTATTAGCTTTTATAGAGGCAACTGGTTTTCTTCACGTGATTTGCGCGATCGAATAAAATGTCCAATGATATTTTTTCTTGAAAATATGTAATTATATGTTGATTCGATATAATTACTTTTAGTATTTGACACGCTAACATTTGTATCAACTTAAAAAATATTACTTGACACGTCAATCTTACATTCCTTTCTTAGAAAATTCAGCATGTGACATAAAAAATTGCATATTTCATAAAAAGTTAAAAATAGAGAATAAGAAATAGGCTCAAAATATTTGCATCACTAATATAAAATGCACTTATAGCAGTTTTAGTAATAATTGTTCCCTCCGTCCACTTACGAAAGTCTCACCTTTCCTTTTTGGACCTCTTACTACGATTGTCACATACTCAATTTGATAATATTTGTATGATTCAAAATCATTACATTCTTACTTTATTTTCAATTTAACAAGTTATTATCAACTACATAAATTCACTTTTTTTGGTAACCACACCACTTTCTCTTGTACCAATGTTAGGTAGAGTTTCCTAATTAGGTCACCTATCTTTCGCAAAAATATTTAAGAGCCCGTTTGGTAACTCGTTTTTCAGCTTATAAATCTTATCAGTCAACTTTTTACCAAATACATAATTTTTGATTTCCCGTGGTTAAGGATGTTTTCTTTTGGACTGTTTTCAGGCCCAGACCAAACCAGACTTCCATAGTTATAAAATACACAGAGACCAGACGTTTACCCGACCAGACCAGACCAGTAAATTTCAGTCCAAAAGAAAACATCCTAGCTAATTTTGCAATAATCATAATAGGTAAGATTGAAATTTATTTTCTGAATGAATTAGTTGAAATTCCTATAGAGGACAATTTTAGATATTTTATATATATTTTAAATATCACCTTTCTTTAATGATGCATACTCATACAATTTAGTGGATTAGTCAGCATTTCATCAATTTCAATATATTTAGCCTATATATTCAACCAATTTATGTATTTTCAAACGGGCTCAAAATTTACTAAAAGAGTAGTGTTGACGGTTCTACTATTTCTATTTCTTGCTTGAGAAAGAAAGGAAAAATGACATTTATACTCATAATACCTTGTTATGTACTCCGTAGTATATATATATTTTTTTTTATCCCGGAAGGCAAACCACCAAAATCAGTGGGGCAAATGCCGGGAGTCAGATGCCGTTATTTTATTAAAGAGATCAGGATACAAAAGAGAGGGGGACTAGACCAAACCTCTCACAGAAGCATTCTTCTGAAAAACCTAACATACCAAGAAATGGTAAAAGTAACAGAAATTTTGGGGGGCTAGACCTGACCCAAAATAACAAAGCAAAAATTAAAAGCGAATACAGGAAAAAGATCAGCAAAAACAGATAAAAACACAATTAAAGACGGAATCTAGGAATTCCAAACAGATCAGCATAGTAATTCATCTTTACTTGATTAGGCAAGGACCCGACTTGATCAAATCGAACACAGAGAGCTTGACCAACAGGGTGGGCTGCTAAGCTGTGCGCAGGCCCATTACCCTCTCGGAGAACATGTTCGAAAGTATAACTCCGGCCCAAAGCTTCTTGTCTGAAATCTGTCAGCCCACCGTGGTTGCCTATTTCATTCTGAAGTAGTGTTAAGCTCCGCATCGCATCTGTTTCAACCTGAACATCCACAAAGCCTTCCGCCATAGCCATTTCTGTGGCTTGCACCAGCGCTCTCACCTCTGCCTCTTCGCTCGACTTGGAACATAGATGAAAGGCAACCGCCCAAATCAGTTCTCCATTGTTATTCCTCAAGATTGCTCCACCTTGAGAAATTCCCCGTAAGTATGCTGCATCTACATTCAATTTGTATTTTTTTTTTTTGGTCTCTTCCATCTGATGACTTGAATTCCTGAATCGATATACCTGAAATTTTTCAAAACCATCCCCTCTTTGATGAGGAAATCATCGATAGGTTTCGGCTTACCTTTAGTTAGTTTACAAGCCCAGCGTTGAGAGTAGCACTTAATCTGGCTAATAAGATGATCTGGAAGTGGAATAGCATTCGAACCCCACACAAAGGAGGCATAGGTCTTCCATAGATGCCAACAAATAATACCGGGCATGTTGTGTTTGAAAATATCTGCCAACCTTTTCGATCCAGCTTCAATCCACCAATGAATTAAAACTTGTCTAACTGACTTATGTCTATTAACAGTTATTCCAAAAATTCTCATAAAGTGCTCCCAAACTTGTTTAGAATAAGTGCAGCCCCAAATAATATGAAAAGAAGATTCACTATGATTCTTACAAAATGGACATTGTGTGGGCTGCATTACTAAATGAATCCTTTTCAGGTTCTCAGGGAATGGAAGGTAGCAGTTCAGGAGTTTCCACAGGAAAAGCTTGACTGACATATGTTGATGTTTATGCCATCCATGCTTATCACTGAATGTTGTTGATCTAATATCTCTAATTTCATGGTAAGCAGAAGATAATGAGAACATACCATTAATGCCTGGATCCCACATTATGTTTCCTGACTCGGTTGTTGAACATAGGCTTGCTCCTAAGTCATTAATTTCACATAATCTTCTCCAAATGCTGGAATCTGTAATTTTAGGCCTCATATCTCCCCCTGGCCTCTAGGGTATCTTGCATTCATGAAATCACCCCAAAGAGATCTTTTCGTTTTCCATTTCCACCAAAGCTTTAAAGTAAAAGCCTTCTCCAAATCAGTCAAAGACCTAATCCCAAGAGCCCCTTCTTCAGTAGGATAACAGAGCTTTGACCATCTTGCCCAATGCATTTTTCTTCTGTCTTCAGAACTACCCCAGAAAAAACCAGCCATTTTCTTTTCCAGGGCAGAAATCACCTTTTTAGGAAGCTTATCTGTGGCCATAATATGATTAGGAATTGTACTAAGGACATGTTTAATAAGTATCAGTCTGCCTCCTTGTGTGAGTGTTTTTTGTTTCCAAGCAGAAAGATGAGAATCAAAATGCTTTAATAATTACAGACAATACTGGTATTTATTTCTTCCTTTATGCAGATTAGCACCCAAATACTTCAGAGGTAGAGTAGTTTTCTTCATCCCTAAAATTTTCTGAATTGCCACACTTCTGTAAGTAGCATTTTTACCACAAATGAAACTACTTTTATCCAAATTTACAGTTTGTCCTGAGGCCTCTTGATATTCTTTTACAAATTCAGTAAATCTCACTAAGGACCTTGAATCCCCATTAATGAAAATCAACAAATCATCAGCAAAGCCCAGATGACTTAAGGAATAACCTTGATTACCAATCCAATAAGGTTTAATATCACCTGCCTCCAACCTGTGCTTCAGACCTCTGGTAACTCCGTAGTATATTTGTTAAGCAAAAAAAAGTCTAACGACTAAGGGAAAAATTAAAGGAAAAAAATAGAAACGTGCTGGTATTGTGAGATATAATTGAACATGAATGATTTCGTATTCTTTTTTTATGTGCCACTACAAAAAAGTAAAATACCAATTATATTGTGAGATATAATTGAACATGAATGATTTCATATTCCTTAGTACTCCATAAAATAGTGCTTGCTTGAAGATGCATCTATTTCACGGAGTAAAGACTCATCTATTTGACGGAGTAAAGACTCTGTTAGGCATTCAAACTCTCATAGATAAGTTCACTAACGGAATGGGGGGGGGGGGTCAGCTGGCCTTGAAAATGCTGGACAAACTAAAGCATAATAATTTAAGTTCAAAGTACAAGCTTACATATGCTTATAATTACACCAACACATTTTTAATGCCAAAAATACCATTACCTTCATTCACCATTATAATATTTTATTTAGATTAAGTACGCATAAACGTTTAAAACAAACTCTCTTTTTGTTTAAGAACATACTACACTCTCTTTTTATTAATTAAATAATAATTTTTTTTCAAATATCAACCTTATTATAAATAGTTTTTTTATGTCACATACACAGTTGTTTTATTTTTACTGGTCAATTTGAAGTTGCATGAAAGAAATCTATTACAAGCAATTTATTTGAAAATAAGTGGGTTTTTTACAAGATATTACTAGAATAAAACTTACTTACATAAATATGACTATTCATTACTACAACGTAGTGTTGTGGTAACTTAAGTTCAAAACTTGAACATGAATTACTATGATTTCATTACTACTCTAGTAACTAATCATATTTTTGTAAATCATCTTGATTTTGGTCATATTTATATAATTATTTCATGAAATCATAGTAGACTAGTAATGAAATCATAGTAATTCATGTTCAAGTTTTGAAATTAAGTTACTACAATACTACGTTGTAGTAATGAATAGTCATATTTATAGAAATAGGTTTATTTTAGTAATATTCTTGTAAAAAATCCAAGTAGAAATAATTACATAAATATGACTAAAGTAAAGATGATTTACAAAAATATGATTAGTTACTAGACTAGTAATGAAATCATAGTAATTCATGTTCAAGTTTTGAAATTAAGTTACTACAATACTACGTTGTAGTAATGAATAGTCATATTTATGTAAATAGGTTTATTTTAGTAATATTCTTGTAAAAAATCCTTCTCAACTTTTAAACTATTACTTAAATTTTGTGTTTCGAGTAGTTGTTGGTAAGAATTTTATCTTTCTTCAAAAACCTATCCACACAATCTTAAATCCTTAATTCGGCAGGTAACCTCAATTTATCACTCCTTAGTCGAGTTATTTCTTTCTTGCATATTTTTTAAATTTTCTATTTGAATTAAAAATCATTACTTATTTGGGGTTTTTACCAGCATATAGTAATAGTTTACTTATTTTTTAATTCGGCATGTTTTTACTTATTTGAAGAAAGATAAAAATTCTTAACAACTAGATTGTAAGGAGTTAACATGACCGGCCAACATGAATAGTTCTTGCCAAACCTGCCAAAAGGAGCAAATCCATCTGAGCACAATCCCAGCCGCACATTTCGTGGCTCCATAGCAAACTGAGGATGACAGCGGTCAAAGTGTCTCCAGGCTTCACATACAGTCCGAAGGGTGAGCCATCATACCCTCGTTGGTTTCGTGCTCAACAAGCCATGTCATGTGTTTCGCAGTAGCAGTCGAAGCGTACATCCTTTGCAGTCGAAGAGCTATTGGGAGGTAATACAGTTTAGACAGTGCAGACCTATGTCGTGGTTTCTTTTTACCTTGACGAACAGGTTTGTATCTGTCTCCACCACAGAACTTGCAGAACTCAAGTGCGTCATCCTCCTTCCAGAACAACATACATCCTTCCGGGCACGCATCAATTTCAACACAAGGTAGCCCCAACTTAGACATTAACTGCTTCATGTGGTAATATGAATCGGGAAGGGTATGATCTCGCGGTAGCATCCCTCCTACTGACTGCAAGACTCTATTCATGCAAGTTTCAGGGAGACTGTATTCGGCTTTTATGTTCATGAACTCAGTAACAGCGGATAGCTGAGAGTATCCCTCACAATCAGCATACAGAGGTTGGTCGGCAGCTTTTAGAACATCCTGAAATCTCTCAGCCAAACCTTCATCCACATAAGGTTGATAAAATGTCGGATTTTCATCCGCATCTGGTTGATACGAGGTTGAGGCTTCAGGGGGGTCGTTAGGTGGTTGTGGGGGGTTGAACTGAGACGGTACACCGTATGCGTCATATACCATTTGTTGGTCCCACCTCATTTCAGCACGGTCTCCCCACGCACTCATCTCTGGAGGGACGTAACGAGACGAACCTACCGTTTGTGGTATAACAGATGGATCCAAAGGTTCGCCGTGAGAAGTCCAATTATAATAATTGGGAACAAAACCGACCGCGTACAAATCATACCCAACTTCGTGTGGGTCTTTAAATTTGAGATTTTTACACTTTGAACATGGACATCTTATTTTATCACCACTCATATAAGCCGGATGTTCAAGTGCAAATTCAATAAATTCTCCGACTCCCTCGAGAAAATTTGATTGCATTCCGTACAATACCGCATCTTTATCATACATCCAACTTCTATTTTGTTTATACATTATGCCTGAATATTATAATAAAAAATTATATGAAATGCAATGCACACAATTTTAAGTAATTTATTTCACTAAATAATCAACTAATTTTCACTAAATTAAATGAAATGCACACAATTCACAACAATAATGCATAAAATATAAGTAATTACCTAATACTTAAATTTAACTAATATTATAAAAAATTTAAGTAATTTATTAACACTACATTTAAATTAAACATACGTTTAACTAAATTTAACTAATTCATTTAGTTAAATTTAACTAAATTTAACTAGTTCTTTCCGTCCCCTTTTAATGCATCACTACGTTTAAACCTACGTTTAGCTAACTAATTTAACTTAATTAACACATCAATAGCTACGTTCAAACATACGTTTAGCTAACGAATTTTAATTAAATTATTTTTGTAAACCTACGTTTAAACCTACACTAAATTATTACGTTAATGACATTTAATCTTATTAGTAATACACAATTAACAATTCACTAAATTAAATAATATGACCAAATTCAACCCAATAATTTGAACATGTATATAAAGTCATTTGAATTAATAAGCAATACACAATTCACAATAACAATTCACAATTCACTTAATTAACACATTACTAACGTACGTTATTTGAACTAATTTCACTTAACATAAACATCATTACGTTTTAAACTACATTTAGCTAACTAATTTTAATTAAATTATTTTATAAACCTAAAAGTTTAACTAATTCTAATTTATGACATTACTACACTTATAGTTAAAACATGTTGTTAATTAATTAACAACCTCACTAATTTAATAGTTTTAATAATTTAAATTGAACCAACTAATTCTAAATAAAAATTATAATTCAAATAACATACCTTATCTGCATAAACAGGGAAAATGATAGAAGATAGACTACATCCTTCGATCTTTCAAACAGATACTGTATATATACTGGGAATGAATTGGTGTGGTTCTGTTGAATGAGCTGCTCCTGCATATATAAAAAATTTAGTCACGGACTTAGTCACGGATTTGTCCGTCACTAAGCAAAACCGTGTCCATTACGCGTCCAACCCGTGTTAATGACGTGTAAATGACGTGTTAATCAAAGTAGTCACGGACATAGTCACGGCCATG